GGGACTTGGGCTGCGGCTCTCGTTTCCCTCCACTTCTCTTTCCGGAATATTTTCCCCATCCCTGCAACCCCCAGAAAAGATCCCCATTTTTGAAGTTCCTATTGTCCAAACATACTGCCTCTCATGGCTGTCATCTGGCTTCGCATTCTCTGTCACTCTCTGTGGTGATCACCATTCCTGGAGACTTCACTACCGATCCGGCTCAAGCATCCTGCACCCTAGAGTGTGTTCCCTCACGTCCTCAATCTTTCCTTCTTCCTCAGCTCCACTGCCATGGTCACAGCCCGAGCCTTGTCAACCATAAGAGCYGCACCACCATTAGGACCACAAGGAGGCTCATTTCCCACCACCTGGGATGACAACCTGGCATCCTAGCCTCCTCCTTTCTCCCTTAGCTGACTTTCTTCATACTGAGGTGAAAGCAGCTCTTGAAGGAGAAGCTGCCCCTGTCCTGTTACCGTCAAACCTCTACCCTCTCTGGATTGGCCCTGTCCTACTTCTTTCTACCGCAGTTGTGACAGTGTCTCTCCACATGTGCCCTGGACCCTCCAACTTCCTCACAGTCTTAGCTTCTCTAATAATCGGTCCCTTTTTCCTGCATCTTCTTACTCTAYGAGTCAGTTTACTGACATCCACCATTTTCTTGACCTTAATCTCCTTGCATCTCACCCTTTTTTGTGGGGGGAGGGGTGTACCGGGGATTGAACTCAAGGGCACTCAACCACTGAGCCACATCCCCAGCGCTATTTTGTATTTTATTTAGCAACAGGTTCTGAGTTGTTTAGAGCCTTGCTTTTGCAGGGGATGGCTTTGAACTCACGATCCGCCTGCCTCAACCTCCCAAACCACTGGGATTATAGGCATGTGCCACCTTGCCTGGCTTTTTCTCATTTATCTATTTATTTTGTGGTGCTGGGGATTGAACCCAGGGCCTTGCACATGCAAGGCAGGCACTCTACCAGCCCTTACACTCTTCTTAATCTTTTTCTGGTTCAGTAATATAAACTCTTAGGAATCATCCTTGATTCTTTATCTTCCAGCATATAATCCATTTTCAAGACCTGTTGGTTCTATCTCCAAAGTGAATATCCACTTATATTATCTTGCTTATTACCACTCTGGTCTAAGTCAACATCTTCTCTAGAATCAACTACTGAAATAGTCCCCTAATGATTTCTGATTCTCTTCTTGCTTCCCTAAAATCCAATCTCCATCCTCTGACCAGATGAGCTTTATACAATATATGCTGGTGCCATTCCTTTGCTTAAAGCCTTCAGTGGCTACCTGTGGCCTATGAACTGGTCCCTGTCCCATCTTAGGCTCATTCACATTTTCTTTTTGCTTCTTGAGGGAACTTAAGCCTCTTCCCCCAGCCCTATTTTGTGTTTTATTTAGAGACAGGGTCTCACTGAGTTGCTTAACGCCTTGCTTTTGCTGAGGCTGGCTTTGAACTTAAGGTCCTCCTGCCTCAGCCTCATGCTCGGCCTTGGGGGAACATTCTTGTCTGAAAGCCTTAGTATGTGCTATCCTGCCTGGAATGTTCTGCTTTTCAGAATTTTCAGTCCTTGTCATCTATTTGCTTTTGGATTTAACAGCAGCCTTTCCAGGCAACCTATATAATAAGGTCTCCTTGTTTCTCTTCTATCATTGCATCATGTTCATTTGGGTGTGGMCAAACCCATCTCAATTCATGACTGACATATTTGTATGCTTACTTGTTTACTTGTTTCTTTCATGAGTCTTGTGTTTCAGGAGGGCAGAGATTAGGTTTCAAGTGCCTCGCAAGTTGTTTGGTAGCAAGGAGGAATTCTATGAATGAAATAATGAACCAATAGGGAAGAGAGGTAGCGATGGGGTTTCATTGAGAAAGCTGTGGCTAACTCTTCATTCACCTGATGGAATCTTTTCTTTCCTTATCCAAGACAATTTGTCGTAAAAATAGTTCTTTACATGTGCAGGATCTAACAGTTTTAAGTTCAGATGTGGGTGAATTCCTGTTGGATTCTATTGGGAAGCTACCCCCATGAGCACTCTTTGTATTGGCTACCTTGTATCTAATATAACTTGAATATAAAAATAAGAGGCAGCATGATGTAGTGTCAAGAACACAGGCCTGAGAGTATGGACTTAGCTTCTGGTCTTTGTTTCATACTGGCTTATTATCTTCAAAGACTTTGCATGTGAAATAAAAAAGGCTGGACTAGGGCTGGGGTTGTGGCTCAGCGGTAGAGCACTTGCCTAGCACCTGTGAGGCACTGGGTTCGATCCTCAGCACCACATAAAAATAAATAAAGGTATTGTGTCCATCTATACCTAAAAAAAAAAAAAAAGGTTGGACTAGAAAAAAAAATCTCTCCAGTTAGTATGCTTTGGGCTGCAGATAACTGAATACCTAACAGTGGTACAAGCAATCAAGATATTATCTGTTAAAACAAGAATGTGGGGCTGAGGTTGTGGCTCAGCAGTAGAGCGCTCGCTCGCCTAGCACATATGAGGACCTGGGTTTGATCCTTAGCACCACATAGTGAGTCCAACTACAACTAAAAAAATAAATATTAAAAAAAAAACAACAAGAATGTGGATCTATGACGTTTCTGGGGTTGGTCTAGTTATTCAAAGATGTCCTCAAGGAGCTGGGTTCTTCCCTTCCTTCTACTTTGTCTTCAGGCTTGTGCCTCATGATCACAAGGTGGGGTGGATGCTGTAGCTCTGGGCATCATACCCCCTACAAGGATATCAGAAGCAGAAAGAGAGAGGCATGCAGGTAGAGCTTCTTTTATGTGTCTTTCTCCTTTTATTAGGAAATACAAGCTTTCCTGGAGGTCCCCTAGCAGACTTTTATGTCTCATTGGTCCAAACTGTCTCACTGTCCACCTCAGACTAATCACCAACAAGAGAATGAAAGTGCCATAATTTGTATATCCCAAATAGAACCCATCTGCCAGGGTTGACCTGTAATCAGCTGTGCTCAACTCATTATAGCTGAGTCTTGCAAAGGGCAGGGCTGGGGAGTGGGCTGCCTCATGGACCTGGATCCTGTGATTCCAAGTGCTTGGCCTTTAAGTTTCTCTGTTATCCTACAGGGACTAGTTGTGTTATTCACATCTTTGGTGAGGCAATGGCAAGGAATAAGATTTTTAATTTTATTTAAAAGAAAAAATTTTTTTAGTTGTCATTGGACATAATGCCTTTATTTATTTATTTTTATGTGGTGCTGAGGATCGGACCTGGGTCCCGCCCATGCTAGGCGAGTGCTCTACTGCTGAGCCACAATCCCAGCCACCAGGAATAAGATTTTTTAAAGGAAGGCTTTACTTTCCTGAATAATGAAAGAAGCAGAAGGCTTGGAAATAGATTTACTGGCCAAGAAAAATTCAGTGAGCAACTGAGCCTCGCAGGTCATTTATAGTATAGGCCTACAAATGAGGGCCTTTACTATAAAAAGAGATTAGAGATTACTGTGAATTACAAGGTACCGGGGGTGGTGGTTTACGCCTATAACCCCAGTAACTGGGGAGGCCGAGGCAACAGGATCATAAGTTCAAGGCCAGCCTCAGCAACTTGGTGAGACCCTGTCTCAAAAATAAAAAGGGCTGGGGTTGTGGCTCAGGTTCGATTCCTAGTAACACACACACACACACACACACACACACACACACACACACACACACACAGTATGAGGCCAAGACCCCAGTAAGCAGTATTACTAGTAAGCAGAATCTTTCAGATAACGAATGAATATAAAATGACCATTTTATTAAGGAACTCCTATGTATCAGGCACTGTGTTAGGTCTGGGAATCCCAGTACAAAGGGACATGGTCCCAGTCCTTAGGAGACTGACATTCTGATTGAGGCAAAACATATATGTAACAGATAAGCAGGCTCTATTATAAGTTTGTGTCTGGGACCAGAGTGAAGCAGCCACCGTTTACCAAWGAAGTGATTAGGAAAAGAAGTGATCACTGAAAGATGAATAGGTCTTTTGGCTGTTGTTGAGGGCAGCAAGATTCAGAAAGGAACCATCAGTTAGGAAAGGCAGGCACTGTAGAGGCGGTCCCAAGGCCTGGAGGGCCCTGCAGGCAAAGTAAGTTGGATATTTCTCATAGACAAGTCTTAAGATACCGTAATCAAGTTAGTTTCTAGTTTCCTCCCTCCCAAGAGGTTACAGAAAAAATTTTATTTCATTTAGTTAATGCATTACATTGAGTACAATTTATACATTACATAGGTATTATGGGCCAGTTACTAGTATTTCCAAATTTTTATCAAATCCACTGCTAGCAGTGCTCTACAGAGAGGATATTGCTGGAACTTTTCTTTGCCAGCAATTTGTAGAGATACTCGGAAATGATCCTGCACATTGTCTGAAGCAAACTACCTGTATTATTTGTGGGAGAAAGATTATTGCTTAGAGCCACAAGCAGTGCCACCTGGTACCAGGGACTCCAGTGTTCATTTCCTTATGCCTGTGTTTAAGTGTCACCTCATCAATGAAGCCTCCTTTGACCAATCTCTTGAAAACTTCTGTCCTTGCCAGTCCTAACCTTCCTCATTGTGCTTCTTCAGTTTTTTATACCACATGCATCTCCATACTATTTATTCATTATTTCCCCTGCTAGGATGTAGGTCCCTTCACCTTTAGCAGAGTTGGGATTTGTGTGTTCTTTTCACTGGTGTTATCTCAACTACCTAGAGCAGCATCTTACAGAAGACTTAGATTAAAGATTGGTACTGAAGTCATGACAGTTACCCCTTAAAGGTATCTATGCCTCGTCATGGTCCTTTGTCACTTAATAGAAATGAATGAAAATCTTACTAACAAGCTCTGCTTATACTTGCTTGTCTCTCTCATTGTGAATACTGGCCATGGTGCTCTGGTGGGTGAACCTGACAGGCTTTTAGGGCGAAAGGGCCATGGAATAAAAGCAGAGGTGAGCTCTCAGGCTTTGGTTGCAGAGTACTGTAAATTGACCATAACAGATGATGTTTTTTGAATAGGTATAAGAGTTTGGTCACTGGGACCCGAGCAAGAGGAGTCATCGCAGTGCTCTGGGTCCTTGCCTTTGGCATTGGATTGACTCCATTCCTGGGGTGGAACAGTAAAGACAGTGCCACCAACAACTGCACGGAGTCCTGGGATGGAACCGTGAATGAGAGCTGCTGCCTTGTGAAGTGTCTCTTTGAGAATGTGGTCCCCATGAGCTACATGGTGTACTTCAACTTCTTTGGATGTGTCCTTCCCCCACTGCTCATCATGCTGGTGATCTACATCAAGATCTTCATGGTGGCCTGCAGGCAGCTGCAGCGCATGGAGCTGATGGACCACTCCAGGACTACCCTCCAGCGGGAGATCCATGCCGCCAAATCCCTGGCTATGATTGTGGGGATCTTTGCTCTGTGTTGGCTACCAGTACATATCATCAACTGTTTCACTCTTTTTCAGCCAGCCCAGGCTAAGGACAAGCCCAAGTGGGCCATGAACATGGCCATTCTCCTGTCACATGCCAATTCAGTGGTCAATCCCATGGTCTATGCCTATCGGAACCGAGACTTCCGCTATACTTTTCACAAAATCATCTCCAGGTATGTTCTCTGCCAGGCGGATGGCAAGAGCGGGAATGGGCAGGCTGGGCCACAACCTGCACTCAGTGTGGGCCTATGACCCAGGCTCTGGCCTCTTGGAGGGCAAAGCCTCCAAAGGATAGGATACAATTGACTGATCCTGTGAAAGACAGCTACACCTCCCAAGCATCTGGGCTCTCTTCTGAGCACTTGTCTGGAGTTACCACATATCTAGCTAATATGTACATGCTGTTAGTAGACTCTAAGTGTCAACAAATGTATTTATGATTGTTCGGCTGCTCTTATTGTGTGGATGATGCTGATGACTTGAATGGATTCTAAAAGACTTTTATTTTTGAGTCTGCCTGATTCATGGAAGAAAATGACTGAAACTCTTTTACTGTGAATACTGTGAACTATTTTAATGCAAATATTTTTTAACTTAAAGGCAATGGAAGAATAAAAAGTTGGTTGTTCTAATGTAAACTTGTTCCCAGAAAGGCTACCAAGAATACTAAAAATGTAATTCTTTAATCAAGAAACTGCTGTATTAATCTGGGGATGATAGTCTCCTAAATTCTTAAGCAGAATTATCATCAAGTAACAATTTTAGGCTCCATTCTATTCCATATACAACTGTACTCTAGAGGAAGAACCTGGACAAACAGGGTTCCCTCCTCTACTGGATTCCCCCTTTTAGAGCTAGGTACTGAATTTTATTTTTCTCCTAAGTTCAAGTTTGGCAAAACTGTTGGAACTCAAGAGTGTGAGAATTTTCCTAAGCAAAATCATGTAATTGTGTATGTATATTCAGTGAAATAAAACTTTTATTTTAAAAATTAGCTTATAATGCTGCATTACCTTGCTCACAGGTGCAGCCATTGTCTGTGATCTGAAGGGTGCTTTGTAAGGACAGGCTAATACTCTTTATATGTTTCTGAAGTAGCAAGTCTTGGTAGATTTTTTAATTTTTCTACACTGCAACATAATGAAACTCTGTCAACCACAACAGCACTGCAACTAGTATGGCCCTGGGCTTTCCCCAGCATTCATTCACTAATACCTTGTGTTTAGGGGGCCCAGGGATAAGGGGGTGTCCTAGGCTAGAAAATCATCTATTTTATCTGTTTATCCATTGCTTGCCTTTCCAGTAAAGTGCAGGTTTATGAATCCCTGCAGAGACCAGCCATCCTTGTCCCTCTCCGATCCTCTTCTAGCTGTTACTTTATTATTTATTTATTTGCTTTACTTATTAAGAAGCTCTTGTGCTGGGCTGAAGCCTGTCTCATTTTCATCCTTATCCTACTGTTGCTCCTTGTTCTCTCTTGGGGTCCATCTGGGTCTCCTATCCACCCCCACCCTTTTAAAATTTATTCTTCAGACTCAAAATCCCTACTGGTATCTACAGCTTCTTTCCAGGACATGATTTGAAGTTTGTCCTTTTGTCTGTCCAGTTATAAGACCCTGCTATACAAGCAGAATAAACCCAGCTCTGGCCTTGTTATAGAGGCTGCATCACTAGCAATACAGTCCACTTAAGCTGCTCTGGCACCAGAGCCACATATATCAGAAGGTGAGAGTCCTTTCATACTTACTATTGTTTGGCCATCTCTCTGCTCTGATCTTTTATTATTGCTGAGTAATTTTCTGGACCCCAGGAAAAGAACCAATACCTGTTCATCTAAACTTGCTCGAACTCAGTTTGACCAGCCACCCTTGCCTTTAAAGAATTACTACTAATTCAGTCACTTAAGAAGCTAACTAATTGTGGACACGGCATGTTATTGGACTTTATTTCAGGTTACAATGCTTAATTCCATCCAGGGACATTTTTTTGCCCAAGTGGCTCGGAGGCTGATTCAGGTTTTTCATGGGAAAATGTCATAGGCTCCAAACCATATTCACACTCTCCCTAGCCCACAGCTCCCAGAGTTCGTCCTGCAATCCAGGATGAAAAGGGAGAGTAACACAAGTCTCTGGAAGATCCATTTCAACTCTTTTCCTTGAGAACCATGACAGGTTGAATGCATTTCTCCATAGAATTTCTATTTTGAAAGACAATGATGTTCCATCTGTACTTTTTAAGCTTCTTGTTTCTTCTCTATCAATAACATGTCTGTCAGTTGTTTGTCAGAGACACTTAACTGCTGACAGGTCCTCATAACCTGACTAAGATAAACTGCCAAGAGATGCTTACACTGGAACACAAAACATAAAGACATATTAGGAACAAGCAGGGCTGTGACTGGCTAGTCTACTTCTCCTACCATCATATGAAAGGAAAAGGAAGTTTGCTGTACTTTCAGTTAGGTTCTTCCTTCCTTTTAGAAAGGAAGGCAATGGCTAACATTCTTCGAGGTACTATGTTGTTCAGTGTTTCTCAGATTATCTCACTTATCTGACAGCTACCCATGAGGACAGGTATTAACTCCATTTTAACCATATGCTCAGAACCTATAGTCTATTCACTTAACCACTGTTATATACTTCAGGGGCAGGGCTGAGGGTCAGGGAGGAGTTGTGGTAGAACTCTGGCATATCCCAGCCTGTCTGCTACTCTGGGGAGATGATGCAGTTGGACCTATGTCACAGAACACAGCTTCAGATCTTGAAGAGGTCCTCATTCAATCCTGTTATTTTATAGGTGATATATACTTATAGCACATGAGCTATGAATGCGGCCTCTTGCACAATGGGACACCCAACTTGGCATCCAGTTCCCAAGATGTTTAAGAAGTTAACAGAGTAAAATGAAGGGAAGAATGCGGTAGACTCCATTATCTTCTTTGCCAAGACTGAGAAATAGTGACCTTCTCCCAAGAGGCGATAAGGAGTGTGTGAATATGTCCTGCTCTTGCTTAATGCTCTGGACTCTGAGGAAATCAGTAAAGATTGAGAGGGACAGACAAAAGGCATTCCTGCCCCTTGTGAAGGTTGAGTGTAGCACCAAGCTGTCTTACAGGTAGGAGGAAGCCACACCTCATGGCTGGAGTTGGGGTTATACAAGTTGCCAACATACAATTAGCTTCAAATTTTATTGGGCCATCTATGTTCCCAGTGCCAACTTCCAGGACTGCCTTTCTATCCTCCCCAAAGCTGTGACCTTTCAAATAAAAAAGCAAGAAACCAATGTAGTTCTATAAAGGACATTTTGGTAGGCTAAGCCTAAAAAAATCTTAAAAATAAATAAATAAATAAATAAAAATCACTGAAGTCAAGGAAATAAATTATTTATTTTAATACAGTAAAACTGTCACTTTGTGGCTGGGCCTGTTGGCACATACTGGTAATCCCAGCTACTTGTGAGACTAAGGTAGTATGATTGCAAATTCATGGTCATTCTGAGCAACTTTGCAAGATCCTATCTCAAAAAGGGCTGGGTGGAGTTCAGTGGTAAGCACCTCTGGGTTCAATCTCCAGTACTGGAGGAAAAAAATAAATTCCCATTTTGTGCAACTTTTAAACCATTAAATAAGGGCTAGCAATTTATCTCCTAACCTAACTGCGGTGGCAAGAGCCTTCCCCATCCTTACCAGTAGGCTTTCACTCTTCCGCAGCACTGAGAAGGTAAATGCAGGACACGAACAGTAATGACAAGAAGCCAAACATGTGTATGTTTTGCCAGAACTTCCTAGTACCTAGGAAAAAAGGATAGATAGATCAGCTCTCAGAAGGTGTGCTTCTGGGTGCCATCTCTTTCCCTTTAACCATTTAATGATTCAAAGTCTCTGCAAACTGCACTGGAAAGAAATGCAGTACTATTTTACATAGAAGGGGAAACTCAACTTCTTTTCCTGGAGCATGCAAACTGCTCCTTACCCCTCAGTGCTCACCCTTTAGGACAGTGGAACTGAAGAGTTTCAGGCTAGTTCAACCATCCACACAAACCATTTGTTCCTATACTTAGTGATTCATAGGGCCTACTCCATGTGCTGACTATCAAGGTGTGAAGGGGAAATCTCTCATTTTATTGTGGGGTTTCTTAACATTTGGTATTTCACAGCATGTATGTAAGTTTCTGAAGCTTCCACCACATACCTGAAAAGAGTGAAAACAGGTACAGAGTGAGTGGTTGGGCAGGAAGCAAGATAGGTCTCAGAAGAAAGTAGAAATGGGCTTTTGAAAAACGTTTGAGGGTGGAGAGAATATAAAGAATCCTGCAAAAGGGATGACTCAGCTGCTCAGGATGGAGGTCTCCGGAAAAGAGGCAAGCCCAGATCTGCCCATTCTTTTAGCAGGATGGAAGGAGGATGTAGATATATGTGGGGTTGTTAAGAGGCTCAGTCTAAGAACAGAAAGCTTTGGTGGCAGTCAAAAGAACACAAAGGACAGGTAAAGGGACAATCTGATCTGTTAGTGGTTTGACTGGACAAATTTAGTGTTGTATCCCCTCCCATGCCCTGTATTGGGGATTGAAACAGGGCTAAGCAGGTGCTCTACCCCTGAGCTACAGCCTCATTCCTGACTGGACAAATCTGTTGGAGGTCTCTTTTCCACCAAATAGTCAAAACCTTTTTGTTAGTTTACTGTAGTTTGGATCTTCAATGTGCTCCAAAGGTATTACAGGCTTGGTTGCTGGTCTGTGGCACTACTGGAAGGTGGCAAAACCTTTAGGAAATGGGCCTAGTTTGAGTAAGTTGGGTCACTGGGACTGTGCCCTTGAAGGGGATATTGGGACCCTATACCCTTCTTCTCTCTGCTTTCTGATTACTATGAGGTTAACAGGCTTCATCCACCACATATTCTTGCCGTGTATATAATTTGCTGTCACAGGCCCAAAGCAACAGGACCAAGCAACCATGGATTGAAACCTCTGAAACTGAAACAAAATAAACCTTTCCTCTTTTCAAGTTGATTTATCTCAGATATTTGTTACAGTGGTGGGAGGCTGACTAACAAAGTTTCATTCCTTAAGTTAATTTCCAAACTAGAAGATTATTTGTCAGAGGGCCTTCGGATTATATTTAGGCTTGAAGAGGCTTGAAGACACTAATCTGAATAAAAAAAATCACAGAACTTAAAAAAAAAAATTCTTTGGTACCAGGGATTGAACCCAGGGGTACTCAACAACTGAGCCACTTCCCCATCCCTTTTTTTTTTTTTTTTAATTTTGTGATAAGGTCTCACCAAGTGATTGAGGCTGCCTTTGAATTTATGATCCTCCTACATCCTACGTCCCGAACTACTGGGATTACAGGGTTTTTTGTTTTTTTAAAACTATACTGTCATATAATTTCCCATCCAAGGATCTTTTCTCTTTCTCCCCCACAGAGAATTAAGCAACAGATAAGGCTTTAACCATAGCAGAAATAGCAGATTCAAATGTGTATTTCTTTGTATCATGTGTTCACTGGTTCACATGATACAGCCATCCTTTTTGGGGTGGGGGTGGGAGTACTGGGGATTGTACCTATGGGGGCTCTACCACTGACATATACATCTCCAGCCCTTTTTTAAAATTTGATTTTGAGGTAGGATCTCACTAAGTTGCCCAAGTTGCCCTCAAACTTCCAATTCTCCTGCCTCAGCCTCCTGAGCAGCTGGGATTACAGGTGTGTGCCACCTCACCTGGTTGACACAGCCATCTTGGTAAAGTTTTTTGACAAAATCAGCAGAATTCCTTGGGGGTTCCTAGAATTCCAGGAATGGCCAATGATTGGGTAAGATGCCTGCTGTAACCATTAAAGATTTTAGCCTCGGTTTAAATTAGTTATTAAAACCACATCTTGGGGGCTGGGGATGTGGCTCAAGCGGTAGTGCGCTCGCCTGGCAT